AAAATAGAACGATCCCGCTTTTCGTAGGCTAAATTTTATCGGACATCGTTTCTTTTACGATCCCCTGCGGTTTAAGCTTTTCGATCTGGTCAAAAAATAAAAGATCTTTCGACTTTATTCAGTCCCCAATCCAGTGTAGTGTGTGTAGTGTGTATACGCACCGGTCGATTGTCGTAATGGTTTTTGCTTTCCGTATCCTGCGAGATGGTCAACTAGCTCCTAGTTGTCATCTCTCTCTCTCTCTCGTCAAATCCAGCTCCAGTATTTGCTCTTTTGATGACTGACATGAAAGTAGATGGAATGGAATTGAATCAAACCAGTGCTCTATATGTGTCCCCCGGGAAGCAGGTACTAGCTGATCGGAATCGCATACCAGTTATTACTCACGGTGGTATATTAGTAATCAGTACACTGTATGAACTTTAATTTGCTTTAGCTCTCTCACTCAGTTTCATTTCTTCACTAAAGTACACATTTTGCTTGCTTTTCTTTTTCAATAATCATTGCGCATGGTCATGAAGTGGGATTGTGAAAATGCTCCTCCCAATCGTGAGGCCACAACTGTATGCTTGATGACACCAGTGTCTTCCGTTCCCTCTCTCTCACTATATGCTGTCGGTAGACAAACGAACGATAGATTTTCGATGTGACCCACTTCCGCCCTACAAGCACCCACACTACCGTGATTTTTTACAGTTCGAATTACAAAAAGAACCGAAAGAAAGTTGGGAAAAAATGTGCCCGTATCCCCTTACCACAAGTGATTTCATTCCTCAAGCAAACAATATCAATCGAATTCATGCATTGATTGATTGATTGAATGAATATACATCTTTTTCTTTGAAGGTTTTTCTTTTCCAGTTGTTTTCGTCTGCGTAGTCGGTTCCGTGTTGGTTTTATTGAGGACACTGTCTGTCCTCAAGTTTGTTTGTCAGTGTATCTCGCACAAACACCGCCTGACTGTCCATCTATTTGCAGGTCACGTGCAAACAAACAAGGACTACCTTTTGGCAAATGATTTTTGCTTATTGGTTTTGGTCACCTGTACAAAAATCCGCAAATTCCACGTAAATCCATTACAATTTAAATATGAACAGGAAAATTTTCCGCCAATGAAAATAATAATTTGTCCCAGGGAAACCGACTTCGTAAACATACATATGCATTGATTAGAAAAAGCCACCCTGGAAGCACAGGACCGGTTTCGCGGTCCTTACCGCTCGTCAGGCATGCGTATCCGGTAATCTTTTGTCAGTTCATATAAATATATATATATGATATTTTGAGATGAAACATTACTTGATAGCATACAACGATGGAACCGAATCGATCAAGTTAATCATTCTGTTTGACGATATGAAACATCCGACCAAAATAATCGCTAAAAGCTGGAATAATTTTCAGTCCCGATACAGGTTCATGTCTAGGATAGTCTCTCACCTGTTCTACACGGCGCCATCACAACCATTTTGAGCCCGTTAATGGATTAGCAAACCAAACTTGTATTGATTCACTGCCACATCGTTTGTGAACGCGTCGCAGATGATCAATCCTACAATAATTGGTCAATATATAGTTTGATACGTGTTCATGAAGTGGAAGAGGTAACTGTCAGAGTAAAAAGTGTTAAAGAACCACGGTTTCGGCACTGTGTAAAACCGAATTCAACTGAGTTTTTCGTTTTCTCACTTTTGGAAAAGTAAACAAAGAAATAAAATGCAAACTGGGCCAAAGTGTATCCGAGGCTGTGAGATATTGACGCAGATCAGTAAACCCCATATTGCTTGTTCTATTGCCCAGAAAACATGCACACGGAGAGAGAGAGGGAGAGGTTGACGGGGCAGGCTGGCCGGCGATTTGGAAGCCACTCGGAATCGGATGAACCAGGTATCTGAGTGAAATAGAGGACATGTTTGGTTCCCACTCATCCACCTACCCCCACAAGTCAGATGCACTCTCTCTGTCGTATACCGGATATACCTAAATTGAATCGAAGTGAAGATTAGTCCTGGGGAGAACAACGAGTCGGGGCCGGGTTAGGGGATTAGTGACAGAAAATACTGCGAATGAATGATGAGCGGCAAAAGGTTAAACGGAACCAACTATGAAGTGATTAACAAGTAAAGCATAGACAGAGGGAACGAGACAGAGGGGGAAGAGCTTTGAACTAGACTGGTCGGACAGTGTTTTTTCTGTCGATCTCCAGGTATACAACCCTTTGATTGTGTTTTCTCGAAACAAATCTTTCTTGAGCAGGAGCCGGGCAAGGGGTGGCTGCAATCGTAGAATCATTTGGGAGCAGGACCATGTATTATCAGGAAGGGAGTTATCGCTTCTGGATAGGAGAGAAGCCTGATACATGGTTTCTTGTTTCACTATTCACTTTGGTCTAACTAATCAGTTCCATACTGGGGTAAGCGGTGGAGAATAATGTCACAAGCAGCATAAGTTATGCTTTTAGTTTTTGTGAGGAGCATTCATTAAACTATAGCATCTTTCATTTGACTGGTCGTGTTTTCATACTTTTCCTCTAAATCAATTTATCGCAAATTGCTCACGTTTCGGGTGCATTGCAATTTTCTTCTTGTTGTAGATATTTTGGCTGATATCGTAAACAGCTTAATCCCCCCCCCTAGTATCATCATCAGTATCTCATGATTTGCTCTTCGTGATCTTCTATGCCTTCCAAATGCTAGCAAACATTCTGCNTTGGGGGGGGGGGCGGGCAGGGAAGGATACAACTGGATAGTCCAATATCATGTTTTAACGTTCTAACTTAACCCCCATTCTGGTTTGAACAATCAATTTACCCCGCAATTCAGAGTGCTCTGAGTACATGGAAACTCACATTTCCAACTTATAGCATATTAACTGTTCTCTTTGTTTTGTACAATACTGGCCGTCTACCAGCTGCCGGTTGGCAAGTAGGTAAATAAATAAATGGTTTGGTTTCATTAGCATTGCTTGAACCCATCGACCCAATTGGGGATTGCGAACCCTTGACTTCATAGGTACAACCTACACGGCATACTACTCACTCGTATAACTACCGGGCAGCTGATCCGACCGTTTTTCTTCCTTCCATGAGATATAGTACAACTCATCTTTGCGAGCTTGATACAGGCATTATACCTTGCGCAGCTCAGCATTGGCCCCAAGAGTTATGACTCGTTTGGATACATTTCAATCTGATTACAGCTACCAGGAGGCCGAACGAGTAGTAGTATATTTGCGTTCTACCTATGAGGTCCCCGATTTGTGATCCCAGCTGATAAGAACTCATCAGGTTGAGACAGTTGTCCAGTTCTGATAACCCTGCTTTTCAGTTCCCACTTTATTTACCCTGTACAGGACGAAATTCGCCAGATAATGATTGATCCCAATCCTGCCTTACTTTCCCATAAAATGAATCCCTATTTCAGCTCGCCAAATTCCACAGGAAAAATTAGAATATTAAGGACTGAATCACAATCACCTTTGCAAGTTGTTTTGAATACTTTTGGAACTTTTTCACCTATTCAACAATACTCAGAGATTTTTACAATCATTCTTTTTTTTACCGAATTATCCAAGCATTTTTGATCAGAAATTGTAGATTGGTTCAACACGAGAATTGCTTTTGTATGTTTATTTCATACACTGTACACAGTGCGATTACTCCATAGTTTCCCATCGATTGGTTATCTGTTTAACGAACCCGCTTCGAAAAGTAGTGTGTATATCTTAGACGAGCCAAGCGTTGGCCCAATGTCAATCGCTTAGACTTTTTCCATAATGGATGTCTCACTTGGCACACCGCTCCACAACTGATACTCTTGTGGTGATCCTCTACCAACACCTAAGCAGCACCAGATTCGGAACCTATACTCCTCCTGTTCCGGCCCGAAAATCACATAACTGATCGGGTTCATTTATCGATCTGTGTCGGATGATTCAGCTGCAACAAGGGGCCTGGGGCTTGCCCAGCAAATCCGAGCAAGAAACCACACCTTATTTACAGCCGTGTGTCTCAGGCAGGCCCAGTGAGCTTCGACTGTGCAGCATGATTGCCATCAGCACACGGATGAACTGGACGTAACAACAAGAGCATTACAAAACGTACAAGCCGGTGATCAGGCCGTCTCGTATTGAGGTGAGGGATTCCAACTACCACAGATCGCGAAATATGATCCAATCAGATCACAGAAAGGATCAGAGGGAATTTACTTGTTAAAGGTAACGGGTGAGAGGGACGAGACGATGGGAGCCAATGGAACAATCGCATTATATGTATACCGTAAAATATTCCCATTGATGCATAAAAACAAAGTCAAAACGTGAAGAAATTCCTCTTCGATATCTCGCCTCAGGCATTTACATCTATAGTTCGATTAATCAACAGATTAATACAAGGCCTAGGCTAATGTTGAATGAATAACTGTGTGCAAAGTTTTCTGTTGACAACAAGCTGTGGAGTTACAATAATTGGATAGGAAAAAATGGAATGAAAAATGCGTGAACTGGAGATTATATGATATGATATGATCTATAGAATGAATAAAGCAGGTGTAAACGTTTGCGAAAAAAAACAGTGAATGGGGAGTAGGGGGAAACGGGAGGGAAAGGATAGAAGGTGTCACATCGGTATATGGGTAATTGTTCTTATGACCATTGTAACATCAGGGTCCGAACCAGATTACGTTGCTTACACAACTCCGGATTCATGACCCTAATTGGTATGGCTTCCGCAGTTGACAGGATCTTTCTACGTAATTCTTTGGCTTGGTTCTTAGATGCAGTGAAGAAACTTAAAACTTGAAGAAATTTCAACATCAGCCTAGGCCTTGTATTAATCTACTGACTAATCGAACTATATACGTAAATACCTGAAGCGAGATATGGAAAAGATATATATATATATATTTCACATACGTCTGACGCCAGACTGTATGCCAAACGAATCATGGTACAATAATCCTTCTATTATAGCCTTGTGGACGAAATACTTAACTGGGCCTTCAATGTCGTCTGCATACTCCAGATCCGGCAGTCTGTTGTGTGGGATCAAATCGATGCCACTATCCTCGCACGAGGACGACTGTTTCCAGAAAGATTATCGTACCATGATTTGTTTGGCACAGTCTGGTGTCAGACGTATGTGAAATAGAGAAATATCAATAACAAAGTAAAATAGGAAGGGAGAGAGAGAGAGAGAGCGAATAACCCTGATAAACACCACTTTCGGTGGTGAACTCATTATATATTATATTTCACATTTGTCTGAAGCCAGACTGTGTGCCAATCAGAACATGGTACAATAATCTTTATAAAAAAGACAAACGTTCCTTGATTTGCCCAGGCCAAGGCAGGGGGTTTTCTTAGGGAGTTCACAACCGGAGCCTTCGGTTAGCCAAAGCCTGATCCGCACGGCAGCGGGGTGGTGCGTGAAAACCGCAATCCATTGGGAGCCGGTATCCAGTTCATCGGATCATACGCCCTTTGGATGGGGTCAAACGTCCAAGGTGCCCAATACACCTCGATGCCCAATCGAGCTGGTGACCACTGTCACAACCTGGAAGGTGTGTTGTTTGTAAGCCTCTCATTGTTTGGTTTGGAATGAGGGCTCTTGGCCAACTCTCCTAGGTGAACTACCAGTGGTTCGCCAATCCACTTATAGCCCCGGATGTCGGGTTTTCGTCCTCTCACTCTGGTGGGAAAACACCTGCGCCACGAGAAGGTAGTGAGTAGGTCTTCCTCAGCAGAGGCTGTTTGAGACGCTTGGTCGTATGGAAACATTTGACGAGGTGCATGTGAAGAGTGATGGCCAGCCGCAACCCTAGACACCCATCCCCGACTGTACTGTTGTGAACTCGGGCGAAAGAGTGCCGTAAGCAAGGACTTGGTCTCTCTCATTGGTCTAAAAAGATCGCAAATTGAAATTCACTTCTCGGTATTCCTTTCAAGGAGACAGCGCCAGAGTATCGAGCNGCGACTGACTGAGTCGAGGGCCGCTTTCAAATAGAGGAAGACAGAAATGGTGGTTCTATGAATGGAATGTTGGTGCTTGAAAATTTGTCATCATGAACCAGCAGTTCATTTGTATAATGTGTTGCGGATTTATTTATTATTCCTACCACAAAATTTCACTATCCGCGCAATACACACAGGTTGTCCTTGTTCACACTTTACTCGGTCGCTTGTGAGTAGTGGTGCGCGATAATTGACATTGATTGGAACTGACCATCCTTCAGACGTCACTTACAAGCACAATCCTGGGTTCA